TTTTTTTTTTTTTTTGAGACAGAGTCTCATTTTATTGCCTTCTGTAGAGTGCTGTCATACAGCTTACAGCAATCTCCAACACCTGTGCACCTGAGCCACATTAAAGGCTGCCATAACTTTGTTCTTGATTGAAACCGTCTCAAGGTCTGCAGGAAGGGATATTCCTTTGAAGACCCTCCAGAGACATTAGAAAAACTAATCTAGTGAGAGGCAGGCACTGAAAACAGAGCATGCTGTGGTCAGGAATTTCCTGGAAGAGGCCTGAGTAGTGGTAAATCAAGATAAGGTTATTGTGCTGTTAAGTTAAAGAATACGTCTGTTCTTTGCAGATAAATACTTTGTTCCTTGAAGCAAAAAGAGATAAATAAGGCTTGTGACTTTTTTGTGACTTCATTGTATTGTAATTTTAAGATTATGTATGTACGTGCAAAATGCTTTATTGTTAGGGTATATAAATTAGTAAGAAATAAACTAGGGTTGCTGCATGCCTGAGAGAGCTATAGCCACCTTCTCTTCCAAGACATTCTGACTGCTAGTTTATCTCTGCAGCTCCAGCTGGCTCAATTCACACAACAATGTGGCGCAGTTGGCAGGATGGGTCTTCTCTTTTGGGAAAGCCACTTAAGGTAAGACTAGGTATGCTTAGAACCGAGTGGAATTGCGCTGCTCAGTGAGTTCGCAAGATGCCTGTGAATAAGAGGAGGGTCATAGGAAATATCCCGTCAATAGAGGAGCAATACGTCTCACTCTTGAAAAGTTTATTACAGAGCACAGGTTCCTCTGTGAAAACTAAGACTTTCCTCCTCTATTTCGGTTGGTTGCTAAGCACTGTTATGGTTTACTCCAGATAGAAAAAATCAGTTGAACTTGAAGGTTTGGAAGGATGTGGGAAGGGCACTACACAGGGCTCACCAAAGAGGGGACTGTATTGACTCTGAGGTTTGGATGGCTTATAATCTAGTCACTGTGGTTCTACAGCCGTTGCAATAGAGTTCAGACACAGAGCAAAAACCTAAGCTTCCCCCTTTTCCAGACTCAGTTCTGTTCCTGCTGCCACAGAGACACCTACATATGATGAAATCCCTCTTCCCAGTAGTACTAGTGATTCCTCTGAATCTGAAAGTGACTCTGAAGCCCATGGGTTGGATCATAAGTTATCTGAGATTCAACATCTTTTAGAACGTTGCTGTCAACTTATGAATTCTCAGCAGTTGGCACCTTTAACACAGGGAAAGGTTGGTGCATTTCCAGCTTTGTCTGCATAACCTACTGTTGCTGCTGTGCCTAATGCACCCACTCCTTCTGTTCCACCGCTTCCTCCTGCCTTACAGCAGTACCATTTAACTTCCCCGGATATTCGTGTGAGAACTGGTCAAATTTCCTATTGGGTCTGAAATGTATAATATCTTGCATGAGGAGGTTACACACTATCAGTCTGTGTTAAATCCACCATGTACAACAACTTTTACTTTTACTATTCTAAGGTCAACTAATGATGATGGTGATGTTGAAGTGTCTCATCTCCAGGTTCACAAGAAATTTTTAAAACTCTTAAAGGATGCAGTTGATGCTTATGGACCCAATGCTCTATATAGGCAAGGGGGGGGGGCGGTTAAAAACTTATTGTAGGGATAATTTATTTATTCCTATTGATTGGAACACCCTGGCACAGACTACTCTGTCAGCAAGTCAGTAGTTACA